GGTGACAGTCCAGAGGGAGGAAGGAAGGCAGGCAGTAGGGATCTGGGGGAGGAAGAGGAAGGCAAGCATGTGCCCAGGGAAGCCTGGGCCCTGGAGGTGAGTCTACCTCTGGGAGTGGGAAGGTGAGGGTGGGGGGCTGCCCCTCCCACCTGGTGTACCCAATCCAACTCCCTGCTCCTCAGTCCCTGTCCTTGCAATGCTGCAGTTGCCCTGGCCAGCCTCTGGAGTTCTAAGGGGCTCCTCACTGAGCCTTAGTCCTGATGTATGGTCCCTGGTCCCCCAGTCAGGGATCCAGGCCAGCATCATCTGCAAGAGAAGGGGGTGTCCAGCCCCCAGAATTCTGGCTCCTTGACATGTAGAAGACCCAGCAGTGCCTGTGGGTGACAAGGGCCACCCAACCTCTCCTGCTGAGACCCACTGGGCTGTAGCAGAGCCCACCACCCAAAGTGCAATCCAGTGACAAAAGTGGATGAGTTGTCTAACAGATGGACCAAAGATAAAGGTGCTTTCCCCATCCCCACCTTTCCCTCTCAGCTTCACCTGAAGCCACTGCGGTAACCACACTACTGAGGATGCCTCTTTCCCCTCAAATTCAACCATACGAAGCTGTGGGGCCCTGACTGGATGGAGTGGAAATCTCCACCCACCAATGCCAACATGAAGGAGCCCACCCTCCTGGGCTCCTTTCCTTCCCCAGAGTGGCCAATTTCAGACTGTCCCTCTAGCCCCTTCCTCTCTTCTCTTGACCCCTACACCTCTCATCAGTCCGTTGTTGTGTGCTGCCCTTGGTGCCCACCAGCTGGTCCCCCATTTCTTCTTCCACTGCCCTTCTTACCTTCTGCAGCCATAAGTAAGGCCACGAAGGGGGCAGGTGCTACTTGGGACCCTGCTCCTTTCTCTTATACCATGTGCACTGGAGCATTGAGGTTCCACACCCAAGTTCCAGGGTTTGCTGATCCCAGCCCCCACCCCGTTTGGCCACTTTTCAGAGACAGAGTGTGTGAGCAAGTGTGTGCTGAGGGACATCTGGACTGCGCCTGGCGCATGGTTTGGGAGCCACTGTCACTCCACAGGTTGTAGGCCTCCTCACTGTGGTTTCTAGTGGAAACTACATGACTCACCAAACCAGTCCCATCCCCGGGCTTTGAATTAGGCTCCACTTGACGATGACCTTTTATAGATGGGAAGAAACGCCCTCCTGTGGATAGCCCTTTCACCAGTGATTTTTATTGTTAGACCACGAACCCTATAATATGGTGGGTAAATGTCCTCAAAGGGTCTTTCTGATTAAAGTGGGCACCACCCCTGAGGAAAGTGAGGGTTGGTCCTGCCTGTGCTGGACTAAGCCTTTGCCTTGGCCAATCCCCACTCCTGGGCCCCAACCTTGGCACTTGCTAACCCAGGCTCAGGTTAGTGGACTCCTGTTTTTGGTGAGTTATCTGTTCCTGGCCTTTGCCCTTTTGGCTCCTATCAGTTTGCCTGAGCTTTAAATGGACTGAAAACATCTGGCTTTGCTTACATCCAGCTACTTGCTCTTCATTCTGAACACCTGGAGGTGAGCCTGTGGAGTGCTCCAAGAAATGCTCGGGCTGCAGGGGTTTTTTTGGTCGGGGGCCGGGGGGTGTTATCGGGGACTGAACTCAGGAGCGCTCAGCCACTGAGCCACATCCAGCCCTATTTTGTATTTTATTTAGAGACAGGGTCTCACTGAGTTGCTTAGCACCTCGCTTTTTGCTGAGGCTGCCGTTGAACTTGTGATCCTTCTTGCCTCAGCCTCCCAAGCCACTGGGATTACAGGCGAGCACCACTGCACCCAGCTACTGGCTGTGGTTTTTTATCTAGCTTTCTGGTCTCCTATCTGAGGGACTGAGAGGGTCTTGTGATACAGAGTGTGGAAGTTGCCAGGGTAGGGCAGAACCTGGAATCCTAAGTGCTCATCCTTCCCCAGGGGCTCTTGCAGCTTGCAGCCATCTTACAAGTAAACTCTGGCAAATTCATGGGCCCTACCTCTGGGAGTGGGAAAGCTGATCTAGGGAGATGGCTGCTGCTCCCACCTGGGCACATCCAGTCCAGCTGCCTGCTCCTAGGTCCCTGTCCCTGCTGTAAGGGTGCTGTTGCCCTGGTCAGTCTCTAGATTTGCAGATGGCTCCTCACTAAGGCTGAGTCCCTGATGTACAGTGACTGGTCCTTCCACCAGACCTCCAAGTCAGCTTCATCTGTAAGAGAAAGAGGTGTCCAGACTCCCAGAATCCAGGCTTCTTGACCTGCGGAAGACCTGGCAATGCCTGTGGGTCTTCCTCTAGGTTGCTGGATGAGGAACAAGGCTAGAATTCCTTTTCTCCCTTCTTTTCCTTGGGGTGCTGAGGATTAAACTCAGGGCCTTGTACATACTAAGCATGAGCTCTACCACTGAGCTATTTCTCTAGCCTAGGATGGAGACATTAAAATTGTAAACTGCTTACCATGACTGATAAGCATGTGAAGTCTTCATCTCATTTATAAATAGCAGACTGGAGAAACCTGCCTGGCAGTTCAAAAGTGGAAAATAAAGGCCGGGGTTGCAGTTCAGTGGTTGAGCACTTGCCTAGCATGCACAAGGCTCTGGGTTCCATTCCCAGTATTGCGGAAAAAAAGTGAAATGCAGGGGCTGGGGCTGAGGCTCAGTGCTAGAGCGCCTGCCTTACATGTGTGAGGCACTGGGTTTGATCCTCAGCACCACATAAAATTAAAGAAATAAAGATATTGTGTCCATCTACAACTAAAAAAAAAATATTTAAAAAAAGTGAAACACAGAGTGCCCATATGTTTCACTACCAGATAGTATATGCCCAAGAAAAATGAACACATTATGTTCACATGGAAACTTGTACATGAATATTCATAGCAGCACTAGTCCCTGTAGTCAAAAGGTGGAAATAGCCCAAATGTCCTGCAATGGATGAATGGGTAAACATAACATGGTCTATTCATATAGTGGAATATTATTTATCCATAAAAAGGAATGAACCAGTGACACACTACAGCATGGATGAACACCGAGGACATTATGCTTAGTGAAAAAAAGCTAGTCACAAGAGGCCACATACTATAAAACTCCATTTATACAAAGTATCTAGAAGAGGCAATCCAGAGAGTCAGAAAGCAGATTAACTGTTGCTAGTGGCTGTGGGGGGTGGAACAGGGAATGACAGCTAAGGGACACAGGGTTTCTTTCTGGAGAGATGAGAATGTTCTGGAATGTGAGTGCTGGCAGTCGCATTCCTTTGTGACTACCTTAGAAACCACTGAATTTTCACTTGAAAATACAAAGGAGCCTGCAAAAGACCACCAAACACATGGGAAACAGCGAGAGACACCACAAGAAAGAGAACTCATGACATGAAAAAGAAAAGTTAAATACAAAAACAACACAGAAATCTTACAAAGAGGAGTGGTGGTGGCTCCTGCCAACTAAGTCCCTGTAGAAGCAGGGAGGGCAAGAGTGTGACTTATTGACTATAGTCCACTTGGGGACGCTGAGAGTGAATACAGTCAATGTGAATATTGCTCTGGGACAACAGGGCAGACCAGGCTACTCCAATGACCCTAGGAACCAGCGCTGTGGGGCTTTCCCTATCCTTTGACTCTAGAGAGGATAAAATACCCACTGCTGTTCTCACCACAAAGACACTGGATGCAAGTGTCACAGGCTGGATCCAGTGGGATTGTGGGGAGCCACTCTGAAGGATCTGTGTCTTCTGGCCTGGAGCGGAGAGGCTTTTGACCATCACTATATCTTGTAATGAGTGACCTGGACATTGCCCCGGTCCCAGAAATTTGAGGACACATCTTCAAACGTAGGCGTCACCCCATGGATTGAGCTATACTCACCTGTTCCTTTGTGATACTACCCCTTTGTCCTGTTTGGGATAGAATATTCCATGGAAATGCCTTTGTGTATCCCCTTCTCTTGCTCTGCCTTTGGGTGTGGCCTTCCTAGATGTCAGTCAACCTGCTGACAGCAACATCAAGAAGCTAGACTCAGCCCCCTGAAATCTGACCCCTGGCCTCATTTGAATGGCTTCTCTTCAATAAAATGGTTCAGCAAGAGCTCGCTCTTTCTCTGTCTCTTGTGTGGTTATTTCGTGCTGCCCAGTTCCCCTGGAGTGACGCTGAGTGTTTTAGTCGAGGGGAACATGACATGGGATGAACTGGGAAATGGGACTTCCAAGACCCACGTTTACCTACAGCTGCAATGGTAAGACCAGAGGTGGGCAGCCCTTGCTGTTCTTGGGGATGTTGACCACAGTTGTGTTTACTGGATGGGTGCTGTGATGATGTGTCAAGTACTCGGTCTCTGCTTTGCACGGTTTCAAGGTGGCTGTAACACCTGCATTCACAGATAAGCACCCTGAGCTGGGGGAAGTGAATTTATTAGCCTAGGAATTCCTAAGGGAAAGCCAGCATTTCTGTGACTGCTCCAGGGCTGACCCCTTTGGGTCACACTGTGCACAAACAGGAATGGCGAATGAAGTATGCCTGGAAGGTAGGGACTGAGGCTACCTCAAGTGTGACTTCACCAGGGAAACGGCTCCACGCTGTTGCTAACCTGAAAGTCAACTCAGCTGCCTAAGAAAAAAACGAGTCAAGCTTTCTATTTTCCCCTGTGACTGACCTACTAGCACTTGAGGAGGAATCAGATTTCAGTCAGGTCCCCTGAGATCCTGAGCCTCCTGAAGGTTCTCTGGGCTTGTCTGAGCTTGCCTGGCTGCTGTTCCTGCTGTTCCGCCTCAGCTTTGTCTGAGGGCTGACCAGTGAACTTATTTCATTACATCCATTTCTGACGTCCCCCAAGTCACCCCAACCCACATACTGAGATCTATAAATGGCTGAGATAGAATGATTTTCCCCATATCTCTGTATTCAATTGATCTGACAGCCACCGGTGTCCACATCTGACTGGTCACCTTGTGAACATCTGGAATCCCCCTCCTCTCGACCCCCATCACTCCCCAGCTCACCTGTGCTCTGACACTCCACCTGCCTCGTGCACACAGCCTCTGCACCTCCCTCCTTCTCAGGCTGAATTCCATGTTCACTTCTGTTCCTTTCCTTCCAACAAAGAAAGACAAAAATCACATAAGTCTCCCACTTAAAAATCTTTTTGGCTAAAGGATGAATTCTCTCAGAGGCCTGTTGCCTGTTACTCCCTGCTGGTCCGTGATTAACCACTACAACCCTGGCAGCTCACACCAACACACACTCGTTATGTCTCAGTACTGGGCTTCAGAAGTCTGAAATCAGACTCACCAGGCTAAAAACCAAGATGCTAACAAGTCGGACCCTCCTGGAGGCTCAGGGAGGAACCCACCCACATCCTGCCCTTCCCAGCATCTAGAGGAGCCCACATCCCTCGGCTCGTGGACCCTTCCTGTCTTCAAAGCCAGCACTGCTGTGTCTTCCAGTTCTTTTCTGCCTCTGACCCTCTTGCCTTCCTCTCATGAGGACACTGTGGTGACGCTGGGCCCCGATGACCCAGGATCATCTTTCAATCCCCAGTTCCTTACTCCAATCACTTCACAGTCCCTTTTGCTGTATGAGGTCACATGATCACAGTTTCCAGGAGGTTGGGACACAGACATCTTTGAGGAGCCATGGTTCTGCCTGCCACAGCGGGGATCCACAAATTTTTCCTAGAAAGGGTCCTAGAGCAAATATTTGATGCTTTGTGTGCCACATGGCCTGTTGCCAGGACTGGCTACTTAATTTTCAAAAGTGTATTCATAATTATTACAAACTTCAAAACAGTCAGTTCCATGCACAATGTGCACCTCTGTGACACAGGCCCTGCCGGGGCAACTTCACCTCTGCTACGGTAGCTCTGAGCAGCCATAGGAAATGCACAGGGGAGCAGCTCCGTTGTGTAACTGTCAAATTTTATGGACAATGCAATGTACATTTCATGGAATTTTTATATGTCACAAAATACTAACTGTTCTTTTTTCCCCCAACCACATAAAAAATGTAAAGCTCATTTTTAGCTTCCAGACTGCACAAAAACAGGCATGGGCAGAACCCCGTCATTGTTTGCTGATGCCTAGTCTAGAGGATAATGTTCCAACTTCTCTGACTCTCTGGGGCCCTTCAAAGCTGGGGACACACACCTCTCTAGTCCCAAGTCACTCCCTTCTCCCCTTCCACCTCCACCCCTGGCCCTGAACAATCCTCCTGGACATCTGTGCCTCTGCTCCTGCCAGTCCCAGCTTCCCACCTCTACCTAGCAGACCCTCTCTTACGCTTTAATCTGGTCAGATGTTACCCTCCACCAGAGGTCTATCTGTGCCCATTCCTTGTCACACTAGATGGATTTGTGTTCCGATGTGGCTGTTTCTCCCTCAGGGCAACAGTGTCTCAGGTCCCAACTGGGCCTTCTCGGTGTATCATGACTTAGGGAGCCTCCACAGCTTGTGCTGGAGGAAGAGAGGGTGACTTGCAGGGGTGGCAAGGACAACCTGGAACAACCCTGGCTGGAGTGCTCTGATTCCTACCCTGAGGGCTGACACTATGCTTCTGACGAAAACAAAAAACAAATTCAAAACAGAAGACAACAACTTCATATCTCAAATCTCAACCAGTAAAAAAAGATCTCCAAGACTGAGCAGATCTGGGTTCAGAGCACCACTCTGCCCTTACCAGATATGTGCACAGGGACAATCACTTCTCTTGTCTCAGGACAGGGACCGAACTCACCAGTCAATCAGGCCTCATAGGACCTGCCCCTGCCAGTTCCACAAGTCTCCTCTGTGGCCAGTGTCTCCACAGATGGCCCTTTCTTACTCCTGAGTGTGCTGGGCCCCCGCCTGACTCAGGGCCCTTGCATGTGCTATTTTTTTCTGCCTGTAACATTCTGCTTCCTCGTGCCTCAGCTGCAAGGCTGCTGACGTAGGAAGCCTTCCCAGATACCCCCAAATTAGTTAACTCTTCCTATTGCATGCTTTTCTGGAACTCTGGCTTTTGCAGATTATAGTCATTTGTGTAACTCATTGTTACTCTTCATAAGAATAAGACATAATAAGCACTTCATGTCAGGCTCTGTTCCAGAATTTCTAAAAGTGGGTTATTTCTTTGAATTCTCATAGTGCCCTCAGGAAGTACATCATCCCCATTTTATGGAGTAGGAGGCTGAAGCTCAGAGATTAAACAACTTGTCCAAGGCCACACTGCTAGTGAGTGTGGGAGCTACCCTCTCAAACCTGTCTCTTCAAGTTGACCAAGGTCCATGAAATTAGATGCCATGTGTAACATGGTTACTGTTGTGTCCCTGAGGCTGGGCACTCACACCTCATGTACTATGGGCAGTTAAAAAGTATTGATGATCTAAAAGAAACAACACCCCTTAGCCACAGGCACTCCTAGAGCCGAGATCTCAATTTCTAATACCATTCTCTGAAAAAGGAACCAGTGTCCCTTACAGGAATGGCTGATTCCAGGACTGTAGCATCTTATAATGCCAGGGAGTAAGGAAATGCTGTGGAGAGTGGGAGGGAACCAAATACAACAAAAAATCCAATGATGGACACACCCAAGGGTCACAGGAGCCAATTAACAGAGCCAAAAGATGGCCAGAGCTGGAACAGCTTGAGCAACAAAATAAAGTAGTTTTGAGTTATAACCTAAAGCATAAAATAAATATCTAGGAGTCCTTGCCAATATAACTAGATGATTGAATGAACTAATAAATGGAGAAGAAATAAATCTCCCATGCAGAAGGAGTCTAAATAATTTATGTTACATAGATATTCATCCTCAGGAGGCAGAGCATAACCCTTCACTTTTTAAGTGTGGGCTGCACTTACTGACTTCTTCCAAAGTATACGATAAGGAAAGGGGTGGAAGTAGTTTGATGGTAGAAAAACCCGACAAATACTACCTCAGTCAGGTGATCAAAGCTAACATCAATAGACTCAAATAATGTTGACCGCTGTACCTGGCACAACATGATACAAATGGCAATTGACCTCTTTGGTCCTACTGCCAATAACCCACCATCATAGCTTATCATGACAAATTCCAAGAGAGGAGCATCCTAAAAAATACCTGAGCAGCACTCCTCAAAACTGTCAAGGCCATCAAAAACAAGGAGAATCTGAATCTGCCACAGGCAAGAGGAGATTAGATAGGACAATTAAATTACATGTAACATGGGATCCTGGATGTGATCCTGGAGGAGAGAAAGAACATCAGAGGAAAAACAAGTTAAGTATAAATCAACTATAAACTTTAGTCAATAACAAAGTATCACTGAGTACAGTGGTTAAGCACCCCCTGGGTTTAATCCCCAGTACCAAAAAAAAAAAAAAAAAAAAGAAAAAGAACAAAACCAAAGTTATCAGTATTGGTCCATTTTAATGGCATCATATTAATAAAGATGCTACTAATAGGAACCAGGTGGAGTGAATAATGGTAACTCTATTATCCCTGAGAATCTGAAATGGTAATTAAAAATAGTCTATTATTAATAATAGAGTATAGATGAATGAATGGACTTTGATTGCTTTTTTTTTTTCTATTTTTTTTTTTAAATGGGTCTCACTATGTTACCCAGGCTGGTTCTGAACTTCTGGGCTCAAGTAACCCTCCCTCCTCAGCCTTCCGTGTAGCTGGGACTATAGATGAGTACTACCTTGTCCGACCTAAGGACTTCCTTCTTACTCGTGGTAACAATGATGATAGCACCCATCACAGGGGATTGTACATGAAGCCTTCAGCATCAAGTATATACTCAGTTCTGAGCATTTGCTATCATAGCATTAAACCTGTGCCATCCACGACACCAGACACTATCCCTACGTGACTATTTAATTAGAAATTAAATACAATTAAAAATTCAGTTCTTCTGTGGCAGTAGCCAAATGTCCACAAGCAACATGGAGACAGAGGCTACTGGATTAAACAGTGTCGATATAGAACATGCCATCCTATCAGAAAGTTCTTCGGGATAACACTGAACAATGAAGAATGTGATTATTTGTTCAGTGTTCTTGTCTCCTTGGTTCCTTTTGCAGAGGCCATCTTTTCAATCTTGCTGACCACCCTCTTTCAAATTGCAACTCCATGTTTCTCATGCCCTTTTCCCAATTTACTTTTTTTTTAAATATTTATTTTAGTTGTAGGTGTACACAATGACCTTTTACGTTATTTTTATGTGGTGCCAAGGATTGAACCCAGAGCCTCACATGTGCTAGGCAAGCGCTTTACCACTGAGCCACAATCCCAGCCCCCCAATTTATTTTTCTTCTTACCCTTTTCATCACTTGAGGTGGGATCCACTTGCTTTCTCTTCTGCCTCCCCATCTCCACTGCACAGGTGGTGACAGGTGATAGGTGACTGCTGAGTCCCTGAAATGCAGTCAGTTCAATTTGAAATGTAAATGATTTCAAAAGCATATATTAAGGGGAAAAAAAAGTCCAGAATGTAAAACATCTCCTAATTTCTTACAATGATCACATGTTGAAATTATATTTTGGACACACTGTGTTAAATAAAACATATTATTAACATTGGACATCACCTGCAACTATTTACTTTTTTTAAACATAGGTAATAATTTAATTAATCAGCAAATTTTTGTTGTTGTTGTTGCAGTGCTGGGGATGGAACCCAGGGATTCGCACATGCCAGTGCTCTACTATAAGCTGCACCCCCAGCCCACAATTTAATCAATTTAAACTGTAGGTATAACTGACAAACTTGTGGCTGGCTTAAATTTCTACTGCACAGCAATGATTGAGAATATCAGTTACTAGACAATTTTAAAATTACGCATGTGGCTTGTACGTATTTCTCCTGGACAGCACCGACCTAGGATGTCAATCCAAACAGACAGGTACGTTTTTATCTGTTTGCTGCCCAGACAGTATGTGGCAGCGAGTAGGCTCTCAATAAAATTGTAATGAATGAATGAGAGACTGAGCTTCTGGGAACCGGCTTGTTCTAATAACTAAATTGATGGAGTGGTGACCACGACCGTGCCCCGCCTCCTCACAGCACCAGATGAGGAAACTGAGGCCTGGTGAGGTGACGTCAGCTCGTGCCCAGCCACACGTAGTGCGCCAACGGCGGGGCCGGGATTCGAACCTGGGTCCTGTCCCCATTACCCCTGGCGCGCTGACCGTTCCTACCTTGCTGGGAGGTGGCGGCGGCGGAACAGACACGTGAGGAACACACGGTATACGTCCGACAAGGGTCTCCAATCCTCGGCCCAGTCAACCTCTGTGGACTGGGCCCCAGCTCGCCCCTTCCGCGGCCATCGCTGGCCACCCGCGTCTCTGCCGGCCGCCGAGCTCTTCGCAGGCGGCGCCGACCGGAAGTCCCGCCTCCGCCGCGCGCCCCAGGGTGCCGCGACAGCTACGCCGACCAATGAGCAGCGCGCCGTGGCGGACATCGACCAATGGGCGCGCGCGCCGGGGGGGCGTGTCCGGGCCGCGGGCCGGAGCGGGTCGTGCGAGCTGAGGAGGAGCCGCCGCCGCCGTCGCCGTCGCCGCTGCCGCCGCCACCGCTACCGAGGCCGAGCGGAGCCGTTAGCGCCGCGCCGCCGCCGCCCGCCCGCCCCGGAGCAGCCCCGGGCCCGCCCGCCCGCGTCCAGGTGAGGCGGGGAATCTTCGGTGGCGCCCGACAGGGTAGGCCGCGGCAGGCCTGAGCTCGCCTGGCCGGGCCGCGGGCGCCCGCGGGCCTGCACCGGCCGAGGCCCAGGCCGCGCCGAGGCGGGAGGGGACGCGCGCGGGCCGCGGCAGAATGGCGGGCGGGCGAGAGCCGGCTTGCGTGGGGGCCAGCGACAGGCCCAGGACTGGATTCCTCGGGCGCCACGAGAGGCGGGCGAGGGGGACTCGGCGTGGGCACGCGCCTGGGGGCCGGGCTCCGCAGCGGTGGCCCCGGTAGTCTTGGAAGCCCGGCATCCGGGGGCGGGAGAGTGGAGCCAGAGGCGGGGGAGTGGGGCAAGAGTCTTTACGGCGCAGAGGTCACGGCCCACGGGCTCGCTCCCCCGGGAAATCCTACAGATTCTTTTGTGGTCGTTGTCAGCCCCGTCGCCGGTCTGAAGTGCTTTTAGAAGTGTGCAAACCTTTCAGTACCTATGGGAGTCTTAGAAAAGAAAAAAAAAAATTTTTTTTCTGATCGCCATTTCTAACAATGCTGTTAGTGGGGCGTGGGATGTTTAGATTTGTAAAATGTATATGTTGAAAACAAACGGCACTCAACAATGGGGGACGGATGGTCTTCCTTTTGCCTTGTCTTCTCCTGCTAGGCTTACTAAAATGGGTTTTGGTACCTACTGTGTACAGGGCAGGTGGAGAAGAACTTTTGTATGGGGCTGCCCCCGGAGCGACAGAGCCCCCTCATCAAAAGTGTTCATATGAGAGCCTGATGGCCAGTGCTCCAGAAGGGGGAAGATGGGGAGGATGAACCAGCCAGAAAAGAGTTTCTCAAACTCAGCTCTACTGACAGTTGGGGTCACATAATTTTTGGTTGTGGAGCGCTGCCCTGTACATTGCAGGAAGTTGAGTAGCATCCCTGGCTTCAACCCATTAGGTGCTAGCAACATCCTTGTCCCTGCCCTCAGTTGTGAGGACCAGAATATCTCCAGATGACACCTGGGGTGTCTCCATTCTCCCCACCCCCATGAGAACCATCCCTGAACTTAAAAGTTCCCTCCACCACGGGAGATGTTCCCAAGACTTTGAACAAGCTCAGCTGCTTTTAGCCTTAGTCTTCTTATCTCTGAAATGGTAAGGACAAAAGTATTGTGCACACTTAAGTATGTGAGAAGTCTCTTGTGTTGTGCATGGCCTTTGCGTGGTAGACATGGAATACCTGATGTTATAAATAATTGTCAGTACTTATTTATTTAGCCAGTATTTATTGACAGATTACCATAGTCTTGACGTTTCACAGACATTTGTCTCCAGCCTTAGAGGTAGGAAATGTTATAGTTGCCATTTTAGAGATGAGGAAACTGAGGCTTACATGGATCATGTGGTATAACTTGTTTCATGCTGAGGCAGGATTTGAACTCTGATGCTTACCCTGAACCACTGGGCTTCACTGCTTATAATCACAGGGGTCTAGGGCACCCTTTCAGACAGTGTTTTAGGGAGCCCCATTCTGTTGCCATTGAATATCTGTGTGCAACACTGTGCTGAGGTCTGTTTTAAAATGCTGAAACTTGGGATCCACGAAGAGGCCCAGATATATAAACACCTCCAGATGTGGCAGGAAATAATGTTTCTGTTGAAGCACTTGTTTGAGGGAGTAGAATTTCATTTTGGTTATATTGAGTCTGGGATAACAGAGCATCAGGTAGAAAAGGAAAGAATTATGAAAATGCTGTCTTCTGATGCTTGCTCCGTCACTTCTTTCGCTTGCTGCCTCTCGTCTCTGTCCTCTTTCCACAGTGCAGCAAGGTTGTCTTTTGTAAATGTGGATGTGGTTTTGTTCCTCCTTATTAAAAGTCTGAGTGGGAAAAAGCAAATTTTGTTATCTGTTTGAGTAACTTGAAAGAGAGTCAGAAGCCCTGAGCTTAGAATGCCAGTTCTTACATATTCAAACCCTCCCTTCTATTCTGTCCATCTGCACATAGACTCTCAACTCTGACCCTTTATGCCTATTTCTTCCTCTGTCTGGAATGCTGTTCTCCATCACCTGGTGATCTACACAGCCCATCCCAGAGCACACTCACCATTTGAAACCAACCCTGACTGCCACCCTTTCTCCACCCCCACGGGAATCAACTGTTCCTCGTTTGTGTTCTCATCCCATTCAATTTATTGAATCAAATTGAATGCTGAATGGTTAGAGAGGCGCAATGCTGGCTTCTCACCCCTAGATGGCAGTAGCGAAGTAGAGAGCGTAACCTGAGACTGTGGAGTCAGGGGAAGACCAAAGGAAACAAGCCTATGGAAGGAAGCGAGCCTGGCTTTCCTGGTTTGAATGAATCTCTCTGCTCTACTGCTGTGTCCCAAGCCCCACAGTAGGCTTTAGGGAGCCAGTGGTATATATGATGGCTGTGTAGATCATTTCAGCCACTCTGCTGAGTGTGATGGTTATACACGGCCTGATGTGGAAGCACAGAAAATGGAATTGTTATCCAGACTTAGGTGAGCACAGAATCCCAGAGTGGAGAACAGGTTTGGTGGTCAGGCAAAGGCCAGAGGGAAGGGCTTTGTGGGATGCAGGATCATAGGGGCAAATAAACATGGAGGTGGAAACTTCTCCATTTATTATAGAAACACATGGGATGTGGTACTTCTGGGGTAAGAAGGATGAAGTGAATAGTGGCCAAATTGCAGGTCTGCTGGGCATAGGGCTTGTGTGTTATGAGGGACTACTGAGCACCATTAGTCCCCAAAGAGGCAGTTAGATATGCATAGAAAGAGCAGAAGAGAGAGAGAGCTGAAGGTCAGAAAACCAATTAGGAGGCAGTTGTTTCCTTCAGGTCAGAAAAGTTAGGAATATGGCTCAAGGCTGCAATGGTCAGGACAGAGAGGAAAGTGCTGAGACATAATTAATTAGGGGTTCAGAGTCACAGGACTTGGGGGTCTTAGGTGTGGGAAGTGAGCAAGTGCATACACTTGAGTGACCCAAAGATGAGTGGTTGTTAAAAGAAACCAAGAAGGCAAGAGTTGTGATTTAGTAAGTTTTGAGACAAGAAACACATCGCTGGAGCAGAGTGCAGTAAGTGGGAAGGTGGCAGAAGAGTCTGCTTGCACTTCTGAGCCCCCTGCTAACCCTGCCTTCCCCCAGCACAGATGGAGTGCTAACCACGTGCTAGGTGTGGGACAAGGCACAGGGTCTATGCACAGAGACTCACTCGCATAGTGATCCATCCCCGCTCCACCCAGAGCCTCAGAGTCAGTCGCAAAGCACTTGCACTGTCGTAGCTTGGAAACACAGAACTTAGCTGCTTGTTCATTATCACTGGGAAGAAGAAGAAATTGCTTCCTTAAAGACTTAGAACTTGGATTGGGAGAAGAGATCTTGATGTGCCATATTTTAAGGATGAAGCGGCCTGTCTCTGGTGATGTGTTGAAAGGAATGATTATCTGTTATTGAAGTTTTATTTTTGTCTGAATATGTTGTTGTGACCAGAGAGGTGTGGGGAGGGCTGTCCAGGGGTAGCCAGTGGCCTGAGAGAGTAAGAGAGAAGGAAGGCACCAAGAGGCAGTTTTGGAGCCCTGTGTGGACTGGTTTGACCAGGCAGGTCCAGAAGGGTCAGGTAGTAGTGAGTTCCTCAGCCTGGTCAAAGTGATCCTGGAAGATTGTGTGGCAGGGTAAGAGTGCTCTTGTGCTTTATATGCCCTGTGCTTTGTTCTGTGCCTGGCACATAGTTGGCACTCCATCTGTGCTGAGGAAAGGCAGGGTTAGCAGTGGGTTCAGAAAGGGCTGGATGTAGCTACCCATAAAGAGACCTTTATTGCCAAAGGAAGTGTTCACAGGAGAGGGAACAGTACAGAACAACTCAATGGCAAGGCTGGTGTCACTGTGAACATGACACTGAGAGACAGGAAGAGGAGCCTTTGGAGGGTTTAGAGACCCCCCTTAGGAGTTGGTCTAGGCAAGAGGTGACAGGGATCTGATTAAGGATGATGGCAGAGAGGTGGGGGCGGAGTAGAGATATCTCAGATGTCAAACTGGCAGGACTTGGTGCTTGATGAGGTACAAAGAATGGAGAGAGGTGAATTGAAGGACAGGTTGGAGGTGTCACCCTTGGAGTAATTTGGGGTGGAGGGATTTGAAGAGGAACTAGGAAGATAGGAGATGAGGGTGCTTGTATCTAGAGACAGGGAGGTTGGGAAACACATTTATCAAATGCCAGGTGCTGTATAGAGGTGTTGACATCCCATCTGCATGTTGGGAAACAGGCTCAGGGAAGAAAGTGACTTACTGTAGTTAAGTTGGTCAGCAGTAGGGTTGGTGTTGGAGCTCAGGCTTGTCAGACTCCAGAGCCCATGTTTTTTCCTGCTATGCTGTGTTGCTTTTGTTACAGAGCTTTAACAGCTAGAAAGAGCTGGGACTCTTAGCAGGGCTCTGGAGCTGATCAGGTCCCCTCTGGTGCACAGAGCATTTGGACTGTGCCATATTCTGGCTGCATCTGACCTGCTTCTCCACACACTCCCCACACACACACACTCCCTGCCCCCACATTGGCTTCTCAGCCTGGCTGGTACAGAATTGCTCTGACTTAGCAGGAGTCAACCAGGCTGCTTTCCCCTCTGTAGGCCGCAGACAGAGGCCAGTAAGTTGCTGTGTGCGCTGTATCCAC